TTTGTGAAAATTAAAGAATTATCTGGCAGAAAGATCTTGATACAGACATTGACGAGGCTGAGTGGGAAAATATTATTTCAAATGTGGGAGGGGCTACAAGGGATGCAAGAAATCAATTTATTCACTACAAAATTGTACATAGGTATTATTTTACACCAAGTAAGCTATGCCAGTCTAATAAAGGATAACAAATGTTGAAGTGTAGTAAAGAGGTGGGTACAGTTCACTATGGGATTGCATATTGAACCAGACTAAATGTGAGATTAAATGTCTAATTTAGTCTGGCCCCGATGAATGAGACATCAGAAGATTGTTGATGAGAACAACCTGTTGTCTTTCAAACCATGTCTGTGCCTATTGGCCAACGCTCTGACCAATGAGAGCAACTGACTGTGACGTATTAAGCGCGAAAGAAAGCAGGTGGGGGAGTGTAAACAAACAGCCTGTCGGTAAAACGGCGAATACGTCCTTAAAAATGAATGAGCGTAGAGCCTCTTCCTGCTCACGTTTTAACCAAAACCCCAAGTCTAATCCTTCCAAAACTGATTACAAAGCTGAGTCAAGCAAGAACTGTTCAATAGTTGTTGCCATCTTGCTTGTTGTGATTTCTCCAGCGTCACACAGCTTTGTCGTCCATCCCTCAAAAACCTGACCGCTTTGCATCCAGAAATTAAAAACACATCTCTGTGTTGTGATTGGCGCGCCAGTTCTAGGGCCTGGAGCATTGATTTGGGCTAAACCACTCGCAGGCAAAAATGATTTTTGCCGCTGGCAGGTGGGGCTAGATTACTAGGCTACTTTTGGAAGGCAGTTTTGAAAAAAAACTGGAGGACTGGCTTAAGGGCAGATTATACTTCTGCAACCGCTCACATCAAATGTCGCTTGGGTCTGGTCGCAAACCAGTTCTGCTGGTATGCTTCTGATTGGTCTGGAATTTCTAGGGACGCACAGGAATTTCCTGCCAAAGCGCAAGGGGGAGCCTATTCAAGAACTCGAGAACTTTGGCGGCACCAGCTGGAGTTTTTATTCTCCAAAACAACAATGGCGCGTCTGCAAGATA